TCCTGGGAACAGAGGAGCCCCACCTTGGACAATGCACCAATGCGATAGCCCACAGGGCAGCGGGCCTCTGTGAGCCTGGCACTTTTCAGTGGTGACTTCACAAGGTGCAGGGGGCGTCCCCAAAGATCTCCTTCCAGAACCAGGAACCGATGAGCTGGGCATGGGGAATGGCGATTGCCACTGGTCCCCACCCAGAACACAAGGTGGAAGGAGCCCAGTCCTACAAGTGGTGACCTCTGACCGCCATGTGCTTCACAACAGGAGCCTGTGTGAGCCTGCGTGCGTGCAGACACACACACACAAAGCCCTGCAATGCAGAACTGGTTGTTTTGACGTGTGCACACAAGTGCACAGAAACACAAGCTATACTTTTCTGTTGCTTCTAAGTTATTAATATCATAAAGATAAGTTAGAGAGACTAGCACAAAGCGGTGAGTCGTGAGGACTGCGCACTGAGGTCAGCCCGGCCGCGCCGCAGTCTTCCTGGCCACGCCAGGCCTACCTGTGTCCGGGCATTGAGCAGCTGCTGGAAGCTCTCCACCTCTTTGCTGTCGTCAGCAGCACGCTCCTGAGGAACACAGACTGAGTGAGGAACTTGGGAAGAGTCTTTCCGCCAGCACCTCCCCTCAGCCCACACTGCAGACGCTGCCAAGATGCAGGGGTGAAGCGCTGAGCTCTTGCAGAGCTCACGAGCTGTAGGGATTCCCCGTGGGGTGCGGCTCACGTTACCATCAGCACACCCAGCATCATGTCATAGTTGTTGATCAGAAACACAAGCTGCTCCTTCCGGGAGGAGAACTCTGCTGCCACTCGGAGGACAAAATTCTCCACTTCCACCTGCAAAGCCACGCCGAGGCAGCGGGAGAGAAAGCGAGGTCACCACCCCCCCATGCTGGGTCTGTCCTGCCCGCCCCACCTGTAGCTAGGTCACCGCCCCAGCCTGACCCCCGTGCTGGGTCTGTCCTGCCCGGCCCCACCTGTAGCTGTCCCAGCAGCTGCAGCGTGCGCTCATTGGGGATGGTCTGGTTGATGCTGACCAGCGCAGACGAGAACTCGGCGTAGCGGCGTGTAATCTGGGAGTAAGAAGGGACGGCTCACAGCAGCCTGGCCGGCAGACGAAACCTCCTCACAGCTGCCTCTGCCGTTCGTCCCCCAGTCCCTCCCTCAGCAGTGTCCAGCCCACCACCGAGTGTGGCCACAAGACCCGCTTGTTCCCCTCACCCGCCCTCACATAGTGCGGCCGCGTGTCAAGGCCCCCAAGGCGCTGGGGGTCAGTGCTGCGGACGCTCTGCACATTCATCTCCAGGATCAGCTCAAAGCGAGGCCACAGCAAGGCAAGCACCTGCTCCCAGTACCTGCAGGCTTAAGCAGAGTCAAAGGTCAGCTGGCCAGGGTGCAGCTGGGCTGTGGGAGTACGGCACCCTTCAGGGGAGTGGTGAGTGGGTGTGTGGGACACCAGTGCCACCCTGGGACACGCGCACACACGCACACACACAAACACAGGAATAAAAGTAAAGGGCATCAGTGAGGAAGAGCCTGGAGTCAGGATGGAGTGGCCTGTGGAAGATAAGACACTGAGAGCACACAGGCAGCCAGGACCAGAGCCCAGTGACCTGTCCAGAGCAGGGACGTCCCTCTTGGCCGCGATGTTGCGGAATCGGAGAACGATGTGGATGCAGAGGAAGACAGCAATGGCGTCATAGCAGTCGGCCAGGTAGGACTCCAGGTGTTTCTGCGGTACGGCAGCAGGCAGACAACCGAAGGTCAGTTTGTCCACAAGCTCCCGGAGGGGCCCCACTTCCTCACTAGCCACGCTCATGTGAGTTCCTCACAGCAGAAGCTGAGCCTGGGCCGGGGTAAAGGGCCAGGATGTAGAGGCTGCTCATTTTCCAGGGGTTGCTGTCTTCTCCTGGGAAACCACGGAGGGAGTTCCGGGGATCCCCAAGTTGTGAGGCTTCTTGGGGGCTCCCGTTGTGAGTTAAGGACCTAGGCGTTTCAGACTGGGGCCCTCCCACTTTCAGTGCTGTCACTGGCCACCCACTGGCTATTGGTGAGCTCTGAGAACAGAAGGCGGAAGCCCAGGAGTCGGAGGCTTACCAGCGTCATGGTGAGTGTGCGGCCCATGACAGCGTGGAATAGGTCGTGTGCAGCTGGGCCAGATACAACAAAAAACTCACAGATGAAAAGATATTCACGGCAAGAATTGTCGAGGAGGGCATACTGCTGGCTGCGGAAAAGAGCTTCAAACGGATACTACGGGACAAAGGGACAGGAGGGAGGGGATCCAACACTGACCCGGGGTATGGAGACACGGCCTATCTTAGTGACGTGAGCACAGGGCACCCCACACCCAGCCTCCAGGCAGGAGGAGCATCCCGAACAGGCACTGAAGAGGGGCACAGCCTCCCACATCTCAGTGGCCGGGGACCTCCAAGTCCACTCTGACACCTTAAGGGCCTGATCCCTGGCCCTGGAGCGGTAGGCCCGTCATACCCTCTGCTCTCCACGCTGGGCAGTGTGGGGCACCAGGATGGGGGCCTCAAGTTCAGTGGGGGAGATGACGGCACCCCGGGTACCCAGGGTAAAGATGGTGTTCCTGCTTCGGAGGGACGGCTTCGAGAAGAATCGTGAACGGCACCAGAGTCAGGGAAGACAACAAGACTGACTACCCCAGGCCCAAAAGCCAAGACCTGAGGATCCCAGGAGGCTAACTGTGGCCTGGATGCCCCTCTCCAGAACCACAGCCTCATGTCACCTGACACCTGTAATGGGCGTCAAGGTCTTACAAACCGTCTGAAGCCAAGGTGCGGAACTGTCAGAACGCTGTGTGCCTTGGAGAGGAAGCTCCTGCTTTCCCACCCTCAAAGGTTCTTCACCACAGAAAGGTAAGAACACAGCCCTGTGGGCTGGAGCCAGATACCCCGCCAGGAGCCTGGCGTGAGGCTCCCCTCTCTAGGATATCTTTCTTTGCTGTGTCTTCCACACCCATTAGATCGTCTTTCTCGGCAACTTCCTCGTACTAGAGAAAAATAACGGAGAGCTGAGCCATGGCTCCTCCTATGGGGTGATGGGGAGCTCCGTCCCTCCCCCTCCACCCGGCTCACCTGCACTTTCATGAGCCGCCCCAGGTAGGAGCGGTAGTAGGACAGGTAGATCTTGCTCAGCGTCTCCACGTACTCATCCCTGATCTCCTTGGCTGTCGCTCGCTCATTGCCCAGCAGGAACTGATAGAAAAACCTGCAAGGTGCAAGGCAGGTCAGGCACCCTGGCTGCCCATGCTGGATGGGTGAAAAGCTCAGGCCACCCTGTGCCCGGCCTGGGGTGGCCACCTGTACTTCAGCAGGGCCGTCTGTGGGATCTGATAGTTGGTCATCGGCTTTCGGAAGGAGTAAATCTTCTGCAGAATGAACTCCCGGATCTTTGTCACGGCCTGCATGTGGGGACAAAGAGGCCATGAGGCTGCGGGCTTTTACTGTGCAGAAGGAAGGAGGCGACAGTGACTGTAAAGGGAAAGGAGACAATGCTTCTTCAGCTGTGCTTTGGTTTGCTGTTTTGGTATGGAAACAAGGTCTCTCTGTGAGGCCCTGGCTGGCCTGGAACTCACAGAGGTCTGCCTGCCTCTGCCTCCTGCGTGCTGGGGCTAAAATCTCGCGCCACCACGGCCGGCCTTATTTTTCGGGTTGTTTTTCTTGTTGAATCTGCCGTCATCCCTTACTTACACAGGGACCATGGTTCTCTGTACCGTTCTAGTTTTAGTATCTACACTGCCAAAGTGAGCACTGTTTGTTTCGGGGATGGGGTCTCATGCGTCTCAGGCTGGACCCAAACTCCTTTTGTAGCAGACAACAACTCTGAGCTTCTCATCTTTCTTTTTCCGCCTCCTGAGTGCTAGGACGACAGACATATGCCATCCTGCCAGCACGCGCAGGGCTGGGGACGCAGGGCTGGGGACGAAGCCAGGGCTACGTGCGTGCTAAGCAGGCCCTCTGCCTCTTTAGACTTTCCGGTGCAGAGAGGGGAGCGGGGTGAGCTTCTCGGGAAGCTGACTCCTAGCCGCCCCTCCCCACCTTGACGCGGAGCCGGTCCAGCACGCCTCTGACGTCTGCACAGGCAGCTGTGCCTCTGGCCTCCTGCTCTCTGACCGCAGCTGCCTTAGCATCCAGCTCCTGCAGCTGCTCCAGGAACCTGGGCTCTGTCACTGGAGCTTCCAGAATTGCCCTGAGGAGCAAGGATGCGAGTGATTAGGCGGGAGACTCAACAGCCCTGAAACACACCCACATCACACCCCTCCCACCTCCCAGTTCATTTCTACCTTTCTCCATGGTCTCATGATATATGTACAGTTTTCAACTCTTGAGCCCCCCCTCCCCAGGTGACCTTGGATCACTGCTCACCTATGTGCCAGCCTATGATGGCTAAAGTAGGGTAAGGAATTATTAACTATCCAATAATTTCTATGCTGTATCTTTTTTTCAAGATCCCACTCTCTAGCCCAGCGTGGTCTACTTGCGGCAATCCCCGTCTCAACCTCCCAAGCATGTGGTTACAGGCATGAGCCAGCACACTAGGTTTCTAGATAGTACCTGACAACCTCAGCCGAGAGACCCATGCTGTAAACTGGGTAGGCCACCCAGCCCAATCACCTGCTCTGGACATTATGACCCTTCAACTCACGTGACCAGAGTGGAGGGCACCACGAGCCCATCTACAAGTTCCCCAAGTTTTCCCCGAACCGCTTGGCGGTTACGAAGCCGGATGTTCATGGCTCCCGACTGCTCCTGCAGGATGCGGATCTCGGAGCTGATGGAGCTGAGGTCGCTCTGAAAAGCTCCCAGCATCTGCTCCATGCGCTGTGGGGAGGGCAAAACACTGTGGCGTGCACAAGGTTGACGGGACCAATGTGCCACCCAAGTCTCTCAGTGAAAACCCCAGTGGGATCTCCCAAAAGCATGGGATATGGCTGAGGGGACAAAAAAAAAAAAAAAAAAAAGCAGGGGTAGAGGGCATGAGCGGCTCAGAGGTGAGGGCCACTGACCTCCAGGACAGCATCGCAGGCCGTGATCTGACTGTGCAGAGACGCTATGTTTCCACTCTCTTGGATATCTGACCCACAAGCATCAAGGGCTTCACAGTGAACACGGATCTGCAGCCCCCAGGTCTCCCCAGAGCTCCACAGATCTGTAGCCCCCAGGTCTCCCCAGAGCTCCCCAGATCTGCAGTCCCCAGGTCTCCCCAGAGCTCCCCAGATCTGCAG